GTATGTATGTATGTATGTATGTATGTATGTATGTATGTATGTATGTACGTATGTATGTATGTACTGTATCTATAGAAGCCATCCTCCACCATTAATGTGTATTTATGGACTTATGTCATTATCATACATACATGCACATGTTTGTTGCTGTCCTCCTTGAATTTATGTATGCATGTGCCATGTTTATATGTGAGTATTAATGTATTTGTATGTATGCATATGTACAGAATGTCACCATCATTCACTGACATATGTACCTCACGCTGTGCCTCTGTTGCTAATTCTGCCATGTGGCTAATAAACATACAGTTTTTTGTCAACAAGCTTCTCAAGCATTTAGCTTCCTTAAAAAATACTGTCACCAGCAAGAAAAGGGCTAGACTGGACTCACTAGACCGGACTCACTCCAGTGTGTGCAACAACAAACCTGAGACTTTGTGTCAGCGACAAAGTTATTCAGGGGCTGTTCACACTGGAGGAGACACTTTACTAGTTTTAGGGGGCAAGGGGAAGATGAAAAGGGGATCAATTACTTTTACTGGTAGGCTAATTAAAACACATTTAGGCTACGCTAAGTATGAGAAAGAATGTAATTAAACTAAATTGAAAATTTCAAGTAATTTGAAGTAAAAATGAGTCCTGTTACTACCATTTCGTATCAGGGCTATATGTTTTTATGGTCATATAGTTAAATCTGTATATAGATGTTATATTACAACATGGAAACCCGTGGCTCAAACGTATATGTGGATAAAATTGATTTTATTTCTAAAATACGTGGGTATGTATTACATAAACACGTATAACTTGCTCTGTGTTGTTTTTTAATTTTGAGCTGTATTAATGGAAAAAAATGTCATACTCTGTGACCCCACTCAGATTTTTTTTATTCGGCAAATGCTTGATTTTTTTTTAAACACCAGCTGCTCTCTGTAGGTAAAATGGACCACCTTAAAAAAAGGAAAAAAAAGCCATACGTTTTCGGCTTTGATTTTCCTATGCACCCCAAAGGTGCATTGTTTTTCAAAAAAACGTGCAGGAAAAAATTTCCTCCAATACCTCCAACAGCATTTCATCTCAATGAATGGCAAAGTTTTACCTTTTCAAAAATAAGTTTAAGAAATGAAGTAAAAAAAGAAAAAGACTTGACTTGAATGACGACTTGAATAAGGATTTTGATGAGACATACATGTGTTAGTCACTAACATTGTAAAAAACCTCCCCCGTGAGGACGTCGGCTTCAGCAGAAACTAAGTTTGCCACCTTTCTGGACTGAAAAATCCATCATCATAATGAATTTCATAGCTGCCAGCCAAAAAAATGTGCACAACGCTCTATATGTGAGGACATTTCAGCCTTTATGAAAATGCTAAAGGATACAGAGAGGGCAGGACAGAGACACCTTTTATCCAACAATATACAGCCCGTTACGCTCACAAAATCATGGACCGTGAAAGACTTGCCATCACTTTTTTTTAGTGTATTAACTGCAATGTCCCAAATAAATCAATAGAATAGTAAACTGTTGCTTCTGTTTTAGTTGAAATCTAATTAAAGATGTTGAATGCATTCTGTGGAATATAAAACCAGCAGAATCAATGCCTTCTCATTAAAAAAAAGTCTATTAGCACAAATAATCTAAATATTATGTGGTCCAAGCAGTAAAGCAGGCAAATGGACATACTTAACAATTCCCATCTCCTGGTCATCATACTGTCTTGCCTGATTTTTTTTGTTTTTGTTTTTGTTTCACTGCACCAAAAAACATGGTGAGTATTTGGTCAACTTTTCCTTTTTCCCTCCTTCAATGAGCTGCACAGCAGACTGACATTTACCCACTAATTTAAACCAGTAGACTATGAAAACAGACAAAACCGACAGCATTCCCGCGGGGTCAAAAACTGACTTGAAGCTAAATCAAAAATCAGAGAGTCAAATCATTTTTGGTATGAACGATAGTCAGTGGAGGGATTTATTCGCTTTTCTATATGGGATATTATTCTGCGTCTATAGGATGATAGATATATTTTCTTGTAGAATAACTTTTTCTCAGCCGCGTACCTCTTTCATCAGCTCCTCAGAGAGTTGTGCTGCTTTCCAGCTCTTCTACTTCACAACAATTGAGGCCAGCATGCTCCCTAGATCCCCCGCGGCTGATGACTTCAGAGCTCCATCTCGAGCTGGGCCTCATTACAGTTTTATGGCAGAGGTCTGCAGAGAGCTCCCTGGACTTTGTGGCCTGACGCTGTGTCAGACGTGGGCCTTTCTAATTCCTGCCCAATCGATTCAATTTGCCAACGGTGAAGCACTGCCAGGATCTAAACATGACGAGGATGATTAAAAGAAGCAAGACTGAGAAGGTAGCATCAGTGTTGGGGTCCACAGCAATGATTCAGATGCTTTTGTGAGTAAAAAAGATTAAAGTGTGTTCTATTTCAATGCTCAAAGCACTACAAACAGCTTGTTATACATTGTATCTATGGATTAGATAGTGTGAGGCCAGATACCAGCGCATGGTGTCAATCATAAGCAATCTGCATCCAACATCTATTAAATTATCCCCAAAAATGCTTTTCTTCTTGACGGGCCTACTCAAAACATATAGCACAGTAATCCAAGAAACTATTAGTGTACAAATGAGAGAAATTTGCTAAATCAAAGGCAATTAAAAACTGCAAAGACAAAAAAAAAAAAAAATCATTATTGTCAATCCTCCAACTGCGATTACATAACACCAATAATGTAAAGTGCAAGTAACTCCGTTTTATGATGATGTTGCATTCTAAATTCTCCCTTTCTCATGTTTCCCCTTCAGTGAGTGTTCATCCTTGTTGCCTGCTCCTACATTATTTATCTGTACAATTCTCTTTGCCTACCCTGTGCGCCCTCAAGCATCTCATAAAAAAGCATCCACAGGCGTTTATTTCTCTGCTCTCCTCGTGTTTGTAGCCATGCTGGTACTATGGCCAATAGATGCAGGTGATTTCTTTAAAGTAAATAAAAGCGATACTAACTGGCGCATTCTTTGTCATTCTGTCATAATTTCTGGATCAGTAGGAGCTGATCAGTTTAAGAACTAGACTTTGTCCTGGTACAAGTAGTTTTTCTTCATAGAGGCTTAGTGGGTTTATCTTTAAAATGTCTGTTCATAGATTAATTTAAATGTTTTTGTTATTTGGTTCTGAGGGTCCAAATGACTTATTTACAACATTTTAATTCCACAATAAGAACATGATTGGTGTAAAATCACTAAAAGCATTTTCCTTTAGATTTTAAACAGTAGTGCCTGATTGTATCTGCTATGAGGCCAAGAGGTCAAAGGTCAAAGAAAAAAGAAGGATCCTGGTAGAGATAGGCAGAAAGGCAGTGTCCTCACTAGAGAACAGGCTCTCAGGAGGGTATAGAGTTAATCCAGCTGCTGTCATTCCTTTTCCTTTCCAAAGGCCTTTGGGCAGCTCTCCTTAAAATTAATCAGCCGCCTTGTTTGGCGCCTGCTGTGACGCTCCAGCAAAGTACTTTTTCTCAGGAAACCAAACGTCACCGAGACCAATTCAAGGTTGTGATTCAGTCAGCTAAGGTTTTAGCAATTAGTACCCGCCCCCCACCTTCCATCCCCCCCACCCCCATGTCTTTTCCCTGTCCATTCACCCTGTTAATTGGATGCTGCCAATCGCTTCTGCTTACAAAAACAATGAAAACAAAGGTAATTCATTGAGTTATTTTTAATGGACTTTATGCAAACAGAAAATATAAAAAAATTAATAAAATTCAGTTTTTTGGTGTAACATTTGTAAACCCTTTGTGCGTGGCTCTTCAGCAGCACAGTGTTTGAGTCATGAGCATGAGCTGGAATGCTCCGGCTCCTCCGTGCCGTCCTTTTTGATGGGAAACTCCAGCGACGTCCTGAAACGGACGGGCACCTGGCGCTCCTCGCTGATTGGCTGATTCTTGGCCACGGGCGCGTGGATCCGAAGCTGCCCGTCGTCCATCAGGGAACAGGAGAGGCCGGACAGATCCAGGTGGCGGGGCAGGTCGATCCTCTGCACGAATCCTGTCTGAGACGAGGCGGAGGCCGAAAAGGAGGCGCAGGAGGACGAGGAGGAGGAGCACTGGCTCTCCTCTGCTCCGGCCTGCTTCATGGCCACCACCGCCAGGCTCCGCCCCTCCACTCTGACAGTGATGTCCCCAGGGGAGTAGCCTCGCGCATCCAGCGTCACCAGGAGATCACCGCTGTTCTCACAGGGCTGCTGGGCGTCTTTGTGCGGCTCTGAGCTGGCCGCCTCCCTCATGTACTCTTTATCATCACACAGCCTGAAACAGGCCACATAGGTCAGAGAAACGGCCACCCTCAAACCCGCTGACAGTGAGAGCCAGCCTCTGCACATACCTTGCCAAGCTGGAGGAAACGATGGGAAACTTGCGGAGCTTGAGGAGGTGGGGCCCCTCGCGGAGCTCCCTCAGGAGGCTGTCGGCCAGCTCGGCCCTCCGGCCGAAGAAGTCCTGCTGCAGAGCGGACAGAGCCGGGGCCACTTCGGGGCCAAGGGGCCACAGCAGTCTGTCCTGGCTCAGGAAAGGGTCATTACCAAACAGGCTGGTCAAAGCTGCATACTGCGACGTCATGGCACCGAGGGGACGGGAGCAAAATAAAGACTTGTGAGCTCCTCCGCTTCTTCAAAGTAAATCCTCTCCTAGACTGAAACTGGAAGCAACCTTTAGATATATATATGTCCCAGCCTGTGTGCTGTGTCCCTCCTACCAGGCTATTTCAACCCATGAGCTCACTGCAGCTCGCTGTGTGCCAGCGGGGTCAGGAATGCCCTGCTACTCATCAAAAAGCTAAAGACGGCAGCTGAACGCGTCCCGCTTGTGAGCACAACAAGGAAGACGCTCTATTCCTGAGTCTGCGTTCTTAGAGTCTGATGCAAGGAGTTTTAAAAGTGTGAGGCAGCATAATAATATGTACGATTAGAGCAAAGGCAACTGATGAATCACAGAAAAATCCCAAACTGATCTTTAGTTTTTACATCCAACAGCAGTGAGCAAAATCTTGGAATTACACACAATTTCTACTCTTCATTTCTCTTTAGAGGGGCATTCTTTCTCTTCCCCATCTTTCTCTTTCTGCTTACTTTCCTGCTCTCTCTTTCTCCAAATAAATGCCACTGGTAAGGTAACAATAGAAAACAGAGGGAGGAATTAATCTCTTTTCTAGTGAAGACAGCGCAAAAGCACCTTCAATTTGTGTGGAAATTAAGCTTTAGCTTGTATTTCCTTCCACCTGTGGAGCGATTAGCTAAAATTAATTGATGTCTTTATTGTTTGTTATGATAAAATTTCACTCATACTTGTGCACATAGAGAAAGTCTGACTATTATTTCCCTTGAACCTGCACTTTAAATCCAGATGAGACTTCTGATATATGCTGTTTTTATAACAGACTACCAAATTTTTGGGTAAGTGTAACAAAAAATGTCAGCAGTCCTTTTTAAATTAAGGTGGCTGTGGTGACTTGTGCTCCTTTGAGCCTTTCAGACCGTTTACATAGTCCCTGATTGTTGGAGGCCTTCGCATTTCCCTGAGCAGACACAAACTGACACGGCCATGTGTTCTCCTCAGCAGCTGCTCAGAGGTAAACATGCAAAGCGGCGGCACAAAGGAAGCCTCAGCTCGTCTCCCGTCTCGGGTTCCACCTTTTCACCGCTGCTTCTTTAAAGGATGAGCTCAGGCTGCGAACACCACCACCCCCATCCTCCAACTGTCCAACTGCCTGTGTGAATCCTCTGACATTACAAGGAATCTGTGTCACGTCTATTTGTGGCCCCTCCTGCCGTCATGCTGCAAAACTCCCTTTACATCATTGGCTGAACCGTGAACCAGCTGAAATGCGAGCGCTCAAGAATAGTTGTGTTGTTGTGGTCTTTCCCCTCTCTATGGCGTCCTGTATCCGGTTTCCGATTACTGCTACATTTAGTGCACAGCATTACCGATTATTAATAGCTTTTGTCACGGGCTGTCAGTTTATGGGATATCTTAGCAGTCGGTCAGATCATTTGTGGGCCTTGCGCATTGACTAAATTGACAAAAACGGATGCGTTCTAAAGCGGATAGAAGGATAAAACAGGATGAAACGTGGGCCGTGTCCAGTTTTGTGTCTCCGGTAGAGCTACAGCAAAAATAAAAAAGTGGTATCGGTGGACCGGACGATGTCAAGGACAGAAATAGAGGGAATCATGATGGCTGCCACTCCAACACTTAAAAACTCTGATGTTATTCCAGTGATCATTTTGGTCTGGTCAGGTTTACTTAAAATGATGTCTGACCACATATACATCTGATTTAGGAATTTAAATCCTGAGGGACTAAATTCATTTGAACATTTTACAGTACAATTAAAGTCTACATTCGGCTGTATTTTGTGCAATAAAATACACAAGGCAGTGAAATGAAATCAGAATCACACATATAATGGTTTGGGATCATTTTTTAAATAGTTTTTACCTCTCCTGAACATCCTATTCATTGTTTGTGAGTATGCCTCTGATTAGAGGACTGAATTGACTGAAGATTTGTGTTAGAGCTCGGCCAGTTTCTTTAGTAAGGCTAGTTATTATCATGTGAGTAGAACTGTATTGAATTAGGTTAGAATTATTACAAATAAGACAGACTGTGATTGGATAAAAATAATTACTTAATATTGTAGCATATGCAGCGTATCTTCATTATTATTTTCAGTGGTTGAATCTTGTTATTTCTGACATCGACCATCTCTGGAATTCTTCCTGGTTTTAATGTTTGGTTTGAGAGGATTTGACTTTGGGATGTCTAGAGCTGCTTTGAATTTTAGGTTGTTGTATGTTTAGTTTGTTCAAACAATGGCCGAACCCACTGCTGCTGGAAGAACTAATTTGAATCCACTTATTAAACTTCAGGAATGACTTTTGCAAGCCAAATAAAACCAGGTCCAGCTCAGAAGGTACACTGCCAAAGGAATATGGCATGTTCTTTAGCACAATAGGATACTATTCTGATGCAGTTTCCATGGAAAGGTAACGATACATTGAACTCACCTAAGTCTGAGAGTAAACCCTAGAAGAGCACGTTGGAAAAAAACTTTAAAGAAAAGGACACAGAAGCATCATGCTTCTGTGTCCTTTATAGCAAAAAACAACAACCCCCCTTCCCCCCAAAAAAACAACAACAAACAATTGAAAAAAACAACAGAAAAACTTGAAAAGCAGTAAAAGTAATTCTAATTTTATTCAGCCATTTAAACTAGAAAAATACAGCCATTTAAACTAGATTAATAGAACATAGCACTAAAAGTATTTGTTGTGTATTTTCTCCATTTGAAATCCTTTTAAAGTAAAAAGTGGGGCGAGGTCATATAAACTGTGAAGAGTGGGAGATTTTTACATCACAATTGCTGTCTTGATCCTTCCTGTTCTGGCAGCATCACATGACGGAACCATGTGACCACGATAAACCATTGGACGTATTTGAATTAAACTCGGGTTGCTTTGGACTGTTTTGATCTGTTTTGTTTTTCAGGCCGTCACATGATCTCCCTGTTAAAACAGTTAACAAACTCCCCACTCCTAGAATAATCTATTTGAATCTCCCAAAGGCGTGCTTTAGTTTGACATTTGTCTTTATGACATCTGTGCTGTTGGGTTCTTCTTTGACTGCTTCAAAAGAGTTTGGGGTTTGGAATTTAGACTGTGCAAAATGAACACATCCGTCTGTTTGAGCTGTTGGACAGCTGTTCTCAAGCCAATGAAACCTTCAACGGGGTTGACTTCAGGCCCCCTGTGGACATTTTATTAATTTAAAATCAATAGAAACTTAGTTCATTCATCAAACCTGCTTCTGCCTCAAATATCATGTAGATCTATCAAAATCTATGTGTTGCTAGCAACCAAATTTCCAGGTGAGAAATGCGAACTTCCCAGTGGAGGTTGTTAATCCCTTATTCCCTACATTTATATTCCCTAAAGTAGATATAACAGACAGCCTGGTGGAACCCCCTTTTTAAAGTGTCCATGCCTAGACTTTTCCAGAATATGGTTCACTTAAAGATGTGAACATCTGCCTGGATGCAGATGGCTTCCTCACTATCATGTGTCTTTTTAAGAAACGGGAAGAAGGTGAAAACGTCTGGATAGGAAATCTAGACGAGTGAAGAATTTCTTACCTGTAACTATTCATCAATTCCTACTCAAATACCAAAGTACACAAAACAGTAATTTCCCTTTTATTTGAGCGAAGAAATGCCTTTTTGAGGGACTTCAAGTCATATCTAAGCGATATTACAAAACACTTTCCCCATAAAATAATTTGTAAAGTGATGAAACGGGTCATATTAACTGTTTTACAGAGACATCAAAAACATACACAATAGTTGGTAGACCAACATAACAATTTCCGGACATATGCAAGGGCTCTAACTATTTACCAGGGACAGAAAACCAGGATGCTAATATGTGCTCTGCATTCAGGGACCTGTAAAGACAAGAGGCGAGTGTGGATCACAGGGAGGGCATTGGCCATGAGCTGAGATCCTGTCCAAGGTGGCAGTGTTGCTTTGAATACTGAGCCAGGCTTTATACATTGTTTTGACTATTAGTGCTACATCTGGACAGTGCTCAGTGAAAAGAATACTCACTTTACCAAGAGCGCTGACTGAGAGGTGTCCTTGCTCTAAACAGAGTCCCGGGCTTGAAGTTAGCTTCTGCTGCAGGTTCCACACACTGGAGCAACAGGTATGAAACACCGGTGTGTGTTTACACACACACATATATATATCCATTGCAATTAGTTTTGTCTTAAAGTAATCCTTAAAAATGTTATTTAAACTGAACGATTTATTAACTGACAAAAATAAGAAGTCCTCATTTTGTGATATGATTAATTTCTACAACAGCAAAAACCTTTTATTTATCCATGATATATATAAATATATATATTTTTTCTGCATTAATTACATGCATGCAGGCAACAGCCTCGTCTGCATGTTATATGTTCCCTGCATGCCATCTTAAAATGACTGTCATATAATCATTTTGACAGTGACTGTTGGGGTGTTGAAGGATGAGGAACATCTTCATATTTGTCTCCCTGTGGCCAGCAATAGGCCTATGGGTCAGTGGGCTGGAATTGAACCTCACACTGGTAAACATGATCAAATACAGTGAATGGAAGACCTGGGAAAAAGCCCAGTCTTTCTGCAGAGAGAAACACATGGACCTGGTCACCGTCAGGGATGAAAAAGACAATCAAGCCATCGTCAAGCATTCAGGGTGGATCGGCTTGTACCGAGATGAGCAGACAAGTTTGTGGAAATGGTCGAGAGGAGATGAACCTGCAGAGTACACCAACTGGCGCACAGGTGGTAATCCGATTTGTTCCTATAAATGTTCTGAAACATTTCTGTCAATAACTTTTAAATGCTTCCATGTATTTGCTTCATCTTCTTTTTTTAACCATGTCTTAGTACTATTTGTTTGATAACACATTTGCTTTAAAAAGGAAATATGTTTCTACAAAAGAATATATCTATAAAGGACATCAATATAAAAACGTTTGTATACAGAATATAGAAAAAAAAATTGTTTTGCAACACAAGGACACATTATATGAAAACAATAATTAATCATCACTTAGTTAATCAGTAATCAACAAAATGTGTACTAGTATTATTTATCTAAAATTCCATTTGTATCATTATGACGACCTGAAAATGTGTATCTTTTTAAACTTACTTTATATTCACTATACTTGGTACTGCTTTTTTTAAACTGAAATGCAAATATTTTAATTTGAGAATCAATATCTGTAGTTGAATTACCTTTGTTTTTCAGCTCCCTATCAAAACGAACACTGTGGGTGGAAGTACGACAACACAGACGAGTGGAGGAGTGACGAATGTGATGAAAAACACACATTCCTGTGCTCCGACGACAAACTGGTGCTGGTGAAGGAGAACAAGACGTGGGAGGAGGCCTTGGAGCACTGCAGGTCTCTGGTCTCTGGGGAGCCCTTCTACGACCTGGCCACCCTGACCACTGCTGATGACCACCACTACGCGCAAGGAAGGGCGCAGCAGGCCGCCACTGAGGAGGTGGGCCGCCTTTCTGCCCTGTGTGGGGTTTGGGGGGGGTTTCCCTCTGTGCTGATGTGGGTCTCTCTGCTGATGGTGGCAGGTGTGGACGGGCCTGCGCTTCCTGGGCGACGCCTGGTTCTGGGTGGGTGGAGAACAGGTGCAGTACTCGGAGCTTCCAAGCTGCCCGGCTTTGAGGTGCGGCGTCCTGGAGAAGAACAGCCAGACGTCCTTTGGGCTCAGAGACTGCAGTGAGAGGAGGAACTTCTTCTGCTACAGGAGAGCTGGAAATATGGGCACTGAGTAACTAAGGCCATGTCCATCCGTAGAATCACCATAATTCTGTTCAAATTTATGACACTGACCATTATGATAAGTAACCTTTTTTTTAAGTCTGAAAATTGTGTGGAATGTGAGTAAAAATCAAAGTTATATGATCCATTATACATCATATCTACGAGAAGTGATCAGAATGTCTCAATCTAATCCTGAAACTGAAAGGTTGAGTTGCTTGTCCACTTTTCAGTGACATTTTGTATTTTAAACAGCAAAATAGTTCATTAGGAGGGCAACATTTTCCTTTGATTTTTATTTTCTAATTGTGTGAGAACTCCATAATTCTACCTATTGAGTACCATGCCGCAGCTGAAATGGACAGACAATTAATGTATTTGTCCTTTCAAAAGAAGTAAAAGCAGATAGTTTAAGATGGTTAGATGGAGTGCAATGATTTGAGCCAATCCAAAAGCGTAGGAGCTATTCACAGAAGCAGTAACATCATGAAACCTATATTATTGTAAATGTATGATGGGTCATGTGGCAAAAGTTTATTCATTCATTCAGTTTTTCATTAATACAACAATTTACCATAAACACTTCCAGTCACAACTGTTAGGAGCAACAGTTATTCTACAATCCTCAAATGACCTCCCAGGCAGAGATTAGAGCCAATGGAATCACAAACAGAACGCACAGACAGAAAACCCTCTGCTGGGAGTAAAAAAATGAGCTCTGTGGGGCAGCAGTGTGGACAGAGATGCCTTATCTATGCAGACGATAAGCCCTTTGCTGCCACCCCCAGGACTGGTGCAGTAACACCAGGCAGGCCTGTTCATCCCAGTCAACCGGAATAAACCAGCAGCCTTTACTTACCGACTGCTTAAAACATTTACAAAGTCCCACAGATGAATGGACATCTGTCAATAGTAACAATTTTCACTGGTTCTGCCAAAACCAGCAGGGTTATCATGGTGTATGTTAAAGATCTCCTCAAAAGCGTGAGGAGGATTGCAATACATTTGAACTAATGTACATATTTCAGGTTTTTGTGCTTTTCTTGTAGTCTTAACCTCATTATATTCAATTATGTCTCTAATGTTGTAGGATTGTCATTTAGTCTCCACAATGATCTTACTAGTTAGTTCAATTTGATTGGAACCATTAAGAACTACTTAATTAATAGGTTAGTTGAATAGGTTAATGCAAATAATCAGCAGGTTTAAAATAACCTTTGGGGAAAAAATACAAAAAAGGAAGCATTTTTGTGTGCGTATTGTTAAAAACACAGAATTTTACCCGAGTTTGATAATATTGATGTGAATAAAATTGTAATCAATTGTCACACAAAACTGTACATTTGAAATACATGACTAATTGATTAAATGGTTGATTATGTTTGAGCGTGGTGTAAACACAGTTTAATTTAAATATGTAACAGGTACCGTAGCAACGGCACCTTGGTTGACAGATAAACTCCTGACAAACAGGAGAGAGATGAGGAGAGAGCTTGTCAGTTTCAAGTATCATGCAGTAATTTATTAAAGTTTCACTTTTAAATACACTCTTGTGTTATGCTTCTTTTTTATGTTCAACATATTCAA